ATTCATAATGTCGATATTTGAAAAAAAATTTTTTAGTGCTCAAAAAAGAAAAAGTTCGACAATGATAAATTTAAAGGTACAGTAATATAATAAATAAAAAGGAAATTACTACAAATTTACGTATTAAAAGAACAAACAATCGGAATGTAAAATAATAATATAAAAAACAAAAAGAAAATTACAACCAATTTACGTAATAATAGAACAAAAAATCGGAATGAAAATTAATTTTAAAAACCGAACGTAACAGATCTTTGGGCGATGCTTGGTTCGTGAAACCATAGCCTAGTGTTCCGCAAACGGAACCGAAGACTTGAGGACCCGCCCGAAAACTATCACCGGTTCGAATCCGGGTTGGGTCCGGGTTGATTCCGGATCTCCCGTTGAAATCAAATTACCACATTGATTGGGGTCTCTCGTGCTGGTCCTGTCGGTGTCTAAAATATGACCCGCGACTAAATAAATAAAATTCAATGCGGAATTCGTATATATATATCTCGTGTCTTACCCGGATTCAACTCGATTTTTCGGTTCTAGTTCAGATCTTTAAAAAACCCTCCCGAAACCGTCCGTGCGGAACATTACCATAGCCCACTCACTAAGTAAAGCTGCCCAGATGATAATTTTGCTGTAATATTTTTAGTTGTTATTTCTTAATGCCGGCCTAAATCTGATGAAATCCAACCCATAATTCGGACCGAATTGCTGAATTTTGGTTGCGCCGCTAATCTATCTGTGTTTACGATTACTGCGGTGATCACGGGTCAAGAAAATACGATAAACAAAATACAACGTTATAACTAAAGAACACTTGAAAAGGGACTACTACTACTATTCATTCGTATTATGAACTCAAGAGGTGTTATTCTTTATTCATAGCGAAATGTTGAGCCTTTTACGCGATTTGGTTGGATCGATCTTAGACGACTTTCCCCCCTCACAACATACGTAATTTCGAAATTTGACACTTTCAAGTAAAGCTTATTATTTTTCTTTTTCATAGTAAACGTGGATCGTATGGATTGGAACTCTACGCAAAAATGGCCAATTAGTAATAAATATGACTGGGATTTGCTTAAGCTGTGATTTTTATTTATTTTTAAAAAATTTTTGTGACCTTTTCAGTATATCTTTTTTTTAGGGTTTGGATTAGTAGTTTTATTAATAAAAGAGTATAGATGAATTTTAATAGTTATTATAGATTTAAATAAGGAATCCCAAATCTCAGCATAAGCTGCCACAATAAATAATAATGCTACAGGAAAAAATGGCATATTGGATGGAATAGGTGGGCAAACTCCGCAAACTCTGCAACTCTGCTATTAAAAAATTAATGATTACTAATCATTAGTGAAGCTTATTTCTTATAATGCCCACCTATTCTATAGAATATCCGGCATATTTTAGGTTTATATCGATTTACTTAGCTGAACAGATTACCCCCAATTCTGCATATTGTCACGATTTAATTAACTAAATCGTGACTATAACGTGACTATGTGACTATAAGGTGTCTGTAATGTGATTAGTATCGAAGCCACAAGGATATCGTAAGACTATTGTAGTGGCATAGGCTTAGCAAGGACCCCTGAATACATTTATATCACGCTATTTTTTTATATCACCTTCATCTGTACACTTAATAATAATAGAATTTTCTAAAAAACATATGTGTAACCATACAATTTTGCCATTTTAATACTAGTAAACTTAGTAGATATCACATCAATTATCACGACGAACGTTTTTTATAGTTGATTCAGGGCCCTGCTTAGCAGTATAAAATAGTACCAATATTTATGTCAAGGGTTAAGGCAGTGTGACTAGACCAGGACCATTGCTTAGACAAATGGTTCTAAAGTAGTAAAATTAGCGAGAGGATTAGATTTAGTCAAGGGTGACTAGATCTAACCAAAATCTGTAAAAGCCATTCCTATGTATCTCGAATGCATAAAAGAGCTGCTTGTTCGCTCTTCTAATAAAGCTTTAGACTTCAATGCCTTTAATATAGGAGTATTAAGAATTGATTTCTCGATGAGAGGCTCTGATTGCTTGATTATATGGATTATAATAAGAATCGGAATCTCATTTGTTGTATAAGTTCGAGTGTAGTATTTATTATTGTTACCCTAACCGTTAATATTCTTAGCGATCGTATTTCATATTAGATTATCTTATAATTACCCGATTACATCAATTGCGTCACGATTACGTAGTGATGTGCAAATCCCGATTTCAAATTTCATGCGCATGATCGATGATGCGCATCATGCGCATGAAAATGAGCATGGGAATTTTCGGAATTGCTTGAGTTTTCGGAATATTTCAGAATCTATTAAAAGTTTTGGCTTGCATTATAGTGACTTCTTAGCATTAAGATATACATAAAAAATCATATACCGGGTGGGCGAAAAATCTTTAAACAGGACCCTGTTTTTTTTATTCACTAAGAACATCATTCATTGCAATATTTACGTAAACTGTATGTATAAATCTTAGCGGAGATAGTAAAAAAGGGATTGTTTAGAGACTTCATCCATCTGATATAAAAATAAATAGAATTAAATATCAGCGGAGATAAAAAAAGTCCCGTTTAGAATCCTGTTTAGAGACTTTCACCCACCCGGTATATATATATTTTTTTGAATTTATATCAAAAGTTTAAAGCTATATTTGAAATTTAAAATATAATAAAATAATTATTTTTTGTTTATCAATTTAATAATAAACTTATTTATTTTATATATGATTTTGCCAATTATATCCTATAACTTAATATTTAAACTTAAAACTAAAATCTTATCAAAATATTATAAACATATTTAATTTTAGATTTTTCCTTATATATAATATTTAAATACCAATTTATATCATACATTTTATATAAAAAAATCTGCTATAATATTTTTGTATTGGACAATTACTATTTGTTGAGAACTAGAAGAACCGGAACTAAAATATTGTTGTTTAATTTCTGGATTTATTTCTTCACAAACTTTTAAGTGTCCTTCGCGTCTTGCAATATTTTCATTACATAAACTTTCACAATAATTACATTTAGCTCGTGGTTGTTTATAATCTGGAGCTGTTCCAATTTTTTTAAAATGGTTTCAAATTTTATGCCATATTATAAACAGCTTGGGTAAAAAGAACGTATTATATATTTATTTGTAATTATCAGAAAGTTTTGTGAATAAATAAAGCTTATTTATATGTATTAAATATATTTAATTGTAATAATAAACAAATGTAATATCGATATAGAATTGCACACCAAGCATACCAAACATATACATAGCAATAGTGCTAACAATGATACTTCCATTTTAATAAATTCGTGCATAGTAATTAGATAACCTACCAGCATTATACTGCTTTGCCGGCATTATAAGTATATATAAAAAATCATGCGCATGATTCTATAATTTCATCGCATTGACATCACTAGTCACGATTAAATAACTTATCGATTACCGGTAGATATAATTAACGTTAAATTCCCCGATCTTTAATTTATTTTTTACGTAATACCACGTGCCCAGGTTATTACTATAACCGATTGTGTTAATTATTGTGGCGGATCATAATGAAATCCAGATCAAAATGAAATTATAATATAAAATCTCGAAAAATAAACTTTTTTGGGTGCATTTTTTAGGTATAGGGGTTAGGGTTAGGGGTTAGTTTTAAAGTAAAGTTATAATAAACAAGTATAGCTTTAAACTTTTG